TAAATAGTTATTTTTGTTATATTATAATTTTTTTTGTTAATTCTCTGTCAAAATTTCACAAGCGTATCATTTCTTATGTCAACCAGTGTAATTCTATGTTGTGCGGAAGTTATTAACAAAACGAGCGTTGGGCATAAAGCAAAAGGACAAACTGTTTGTAATTGAGGAGGATTGCCGCAGGACATCTATATTTAAACGGTTTGCGTGTGTGTGCGTGTTTGTGTGAGACTTGTCTGTTAACAATAAAATAAGCACGTACTTTGAATTAACATTATATAAATTAAGTTCAATTCGAAAATTACTTCAAAAGGCTTTAAATTAGATTTAGACGTCTTGCTGCGCTGCTGCATATTTGCACGCACACGCACATACTTAGCAACAGGCATACGCACACACACACACACAAAACACATACAATACAGGAGGTTAGCCATGAATGATATGAATATTGTGGACCATTGTGGGTGCATTCTTAACTTTTATTATTCTAAAAGTTGATAAGAGATCAAAATAAAATTTAAAAAATAATTTTTTTTAAATTAAATTTATTTGTTTTATTCTCGGTTCTAAAAATATATATTTTTTTTTCAGCAATTTTTTCTTTGCAATTTTTTAATTAATTCGTTTTTATTCACTTATTTCTGCACGTTTTATTTTTTACAGCATCCACTGTGCAGCGCAAATATTTCAATTATTTGCAACCCATCCCTATATAGCACGCTTCACAGTTGGGGAGAGAGTCGGTCGACCTACTCCCCCCACTTCGCACCCCCTCTGCATTTATTAGACATGCCAACAGGCAGCGGAACCGAGCTTAGCTCCTGGCCAAACCGCAGAGCCAGGATCATTTGAGGTTTGCAAGCCGTGGCCAACGGTTGATTTTGACGCGGCCAACAACGACTTGGCAAACGGTAAGTGGCAAGTGGCTAGTGGCTAGTGGCTAGTGGCTAGTGGCTAGTGGCTAGTGGCAAATGGCAAGCAGCTGTGGCAGTGATAATAATGGCCCATCAGAAATTAACAAAGTGCCAGAAAATCGGCAATTGTTCAAGCATTTGAAATTACACAAAATTAAGTGCCAATTTTAATTATAAACAAATACAAACACACAAATTAAAACGGGGCAATTTGTTACCTCAACTACATTGTTAATGAAACACATTAAACCCGACAAAAAAAAAAGTTTAAAACAATTTTTAAGAGCCGTCAATAGCTATAAGAGCCAATAAACAAACCATAAGGAATGAAAGGCAACTAAATTAACTAAGTACCAAATTAATTACGTATAAACAAAGTGTTGTAAATCAGCTACACAAATACATAAAAACTGTGCGAAAATACACAAAAATATCTGAGTGCGACATTGGACAAATGATCAAGTATTTGATAGACATTGGAATATATTAATATAGAACTTAAAAAAAAAAAAACACATATTACAAAATATTTAAAAATTAATAAAGAATTATTCTGAAAATATTTTGTTAACAATATTATGATGTTTTTACAAATTGAGTTCAATA